TACAGAGGCAAGATGAAAAGAAGAAATACCATCTAAACTTTTCTAAAGACAGTAAGTTCCCCTCAGACATACATTCATATAAACTCCTACCCCTAAATGAATCACGATTTGTTTAGCATCTCAACCGATTTGAATTGTCACATATTTGAATAGATTTTCAACCGGCTCGCGGTTAATCATTACATCCCAAGTAATGATGATGATAATAATAACAAAAGAAATATTAAAAGAAATAAAAATAATAATGTAAAATATAAATATATAAGCATCAACATAATATTGAATTATATATTATATTATATTATCTTATATTAGTAGTAGTATCATTAATAGTAATAATAATAATAATAATTATAATTAGTAATAGTATATGAATTAGAATTATTAATAATAATAATAATAATAATAATGAATAATAACATATTAAATGATATATTATTATTAATAGTAGTAGTATTAATAGTAATAATAATTATTATTATTATAATTATTAGTACTATTAGTAGTAGTATATGAATAAGGATTGTTATGATTATTGTTGTTATTATTAAAATATTAACATTAAAAATAACTATTTATTGGCTTGCATTTTTGTAAAAATCAAAATTAATAACAAATGGATTGATCAATAATGATAACAATAATGATGATGATGATAATTAATACTAAAATAATAAAATGTATGTAAAATAAAAAATAAGAATAATGTATTAGTAATGCAAAAATGTAAATGCATATTGTAAAATAATATTAAATAATGTATTATTTTTATATAATATATATATATATATATAAAATTAATTATAATTGCTGTGATCACTGTTATTATTTAAATAAAATATGATAAATAACGACTTTTTATTGGTTTGCATTAAAAAAAATGGATCAATCAACGATTACCATGATAATAAAAGTAATAATAATAATAATAATTACTATAAATTACTATTACTATTATGTAAAATGAAAAACTTAGAATAATTTAACAATAAGGTAAAAATATAAATAAATATATAAAAAATAATGTCAAATAATATAATGATATTATATAAACAATACTACAATTAATATGTTTAATAAATAAAAACACATTTTAATAATATAGGGTTGGAAAAACAATATTAACCAATAATATCTTAAAGGGGTCATATGATGCTGCTAAAGAGAACATTATTTTGTGTATTTGGTGTAATGAAATGTGTTTATGCGGTTTAAGGTTAAAAAAACACATTATTTTCCACATACTGTACATTATTGCCTCTCCTCTATGCCCCGCCTTTCTGAAATGCGTCGATTTTTACAAAGCTTATCGGTCTGAAAAAGCGAGGTGTGCTGTGATTGGCCAGCTATCCAGTGCGTTATGATTGGCCGAATACATCAAGCGCGTGACGAAAATGTTACGCCCCTTGCCATATTGTGATGATGCCCTGTCAGGCCGGAGCAATGATTCAAAAACA